TGCAGACCAAATTGCTCCTAGAACCAAGAAAACCAGCAAGCCTTCGCAGCTGAAGCACTGTGGGCCGACAAGTCAGGTACTCGTTGGCCAAGCTTTTGGCCTCCAGCACAAGGGCTGGAAAGATACGAGTATGTAAGGTAGAGAATATACAACCGCTACGATGCAATGTGTCAGTGGGAACTGATGAACTAGTACTAGTCTCAGGCACAGACGTCTGAACCAAGAATGTCGGCCAAGGGCTTCAAAGTCGTTGACCTCTGTGCTGACATAAGATGACGTCTCTCGCAACTACACATACTTCTAGGCTGAGGCCCTTGGGCCGTGGCAGGGCATCGTCACTGAAGTTCTCTTGCCAGAACTCCACATCGAACGGCTTCAGAGACGCCGCGACGCTCACATCACCAGGTTCCAGCGCTTGTAAGTACAGTGTAGCAACATTCTGGATAGATCCTAGTTCTCTCGCCAGGGCCCTTTCGGAGGCCGGGCCTGTAAAAAATCAGCCGTTCCCCACTTATAACACCTTCCTCGACAAGCAGATCGTAGCTTGACCGCATTATGGACACGTAGCCTGCTGTAAAGTGATCCGAGAAAACCAATGGCTCGCCATGGGTGAACCAAAACAGCCTGTGCAATTCCTCGCTAAGGTTCTGCAACCAATGGGCAGACTTCGTCACTAGGCCAGGCTGCGCCCCGAGGTTGTCGTACTTGTGGTGGTAACGACTCGCAGAGGCTGCTAGTTCACAAAGCAAGGCTAACAGCAAGAGCTTTGGTCCTGTGAAGAAGGTGAGAAGGTGTTCAACCCATTTGCTTTTTTTGGGGTCCTGGATCCTGAACTCGAGGAGTGCCTTTACTATCGGGCGAACATGGAGCACCACAAGTTGCGCGATATCCAAAATTGAATCGAAACGTTGGGCAGCATACTTAAATGAAATAATGGACTTCAGTTTGCCATCCAAGGATTCGAAGGCCCGTACCACGTTCTCATGAAATAAGTGCTTGAGCCTGCACGAGTTGTGGAAGCCCCTGGCCAAGGACCCCAAGTTGTTGTCGTCGTTTGCAGGCGAATATGCAGTTATCAATGCCTGCACCATCTCTTGGCAGGAGGGATCAGCAGCAATCGCTTTCTGCAGGGAGCCTTGCCCAGCATGGAGTCGGCATCGTAGTACCGATTTCAAGCCCTTCAAGTGCCCCAACTCCTGAACATGAAGGAAGCAGGACCCAGGTGAACATAGAGCATGACCCCCGCTACTCCAAAGAACAGAACACGTGTGATGCCACAGCGACCCGCCACCGCCCAGACGTTTTCTAACACTCAAAGTCAGCCGTGATATGTGAAGCAGCACACAGCAATTGAAGAGCAGCACCGTCAACCATGTGGCAAGTGCACACTCACAGATTTCAGTCCTTGCAGAACCGAGCCGCGAGAGGCTCGGCGCTCTCGCCGTCCGCGGTGAACACCTCCATGCAGTGCCAAGCCGGGCATGGCAACATGGACGTGAACACAAAGAAACCAGCACAGCCTTGAGGCGATGCTCGAAATCTTGCAAGATCTTGTTGTCACCAGCAGCGAACTTCTCCAACGCAGACCAGATTTGGCGAGCCTTCTCCAACGAAGCCTCTCCATGATTCATGAAATCAAGTCAGGAACCAAGGTGCACACACACACTCTTAGTCCTTGTACTGCTCTCACTAAACTATATGACGTTCATGCGCCTGACCAGATGACAGACGTCTCAGTCTGCAGCCGCTTATCAAGTCACTCACTATACGCCATTTTGAGTTGTCACAATTGACATTCATGCAGACATGAAGCCTTGCTTCCCTGGATGTCGTGGACATCCAAGACAAAGCATCGAAGTGACATGTCCTTCGTCACAACACGGGCGCGCAGGAACTCGACGCCACCTCGAACGTCCTGACGGGGGCGCACCGAGCACACCGATGCCGGAAGTCCAAACACGCACCAAAAACGACAACGTGACGTTACAGCGGCGGACCCGGAACACCAGCTGTCCTCCGCGAGACCAACGCAAAGCACCTGCGTTTTCATGGCCTTGCGGTCCAAGTCAAAAAGGGCGGACGCATAGGAATCCAAGATTCTGCCGTGGGTGCCCTTGTCACTTCTGGCCAGGGGAACGTTCAACGGATCACTCCTCCAGGAGCTGACCCCAACGCAGCAAGGCTCTGTGGTTTTGCCAATAATCTAATAAAGAGCAGGGGATTCAGGATGGCAGTAGAACTATGGGATGAACCTCGCTTCTATGTCGGTCCAGATTATGACCCGACTTGTCCGGTACCGACAGAATCCCCAGGCTAGCTTTTTCAAGCCCGAATCCTGAACTCTCCTGAAAAGCCGCTGTCCTGTGATGTGCCTCGCACCGGCGCTGGTATTCAAGACTCTGAGCCCCAAGGCTGGACCAGAGGGTCTCCAAACTCAGCAAGCACTGCACAGCAGTCACTGGGGCGTCTTCCTGAGAATCATCCTTGGCCCGTGGTGGGATGGAGGCCTTCAGTCGCCAGTGCAATGCCTCCTCATGGAACCGACAGTGGTAGGAGCTTCGCTTGCTCCGGTTGCCATGCCGGAGCAAGTCCTCCAGCTGCAGCTTTCCCTCACGTCCTTTGCTGAAGTCCTGGAATGGAGTTTTGTTGGCCACTTTCATGAAGTCCGCATAGGAAGCGCACAAGATGCACCCCAATCCAAATGGCTGCCCTGGCGGTGCCTCCTGGAGGTACGTCTTATAACATCCATCCATGTCCTGAAAAACACACCGTGATCTCCACTCCTTCCCCTTGACCTGCCACAAGCACTGATTGCAATTTTTGGTCGCCAACCGAACCTCAAGATTGCGGACGAGTCTTCTCACGTCACTCTTCACAGCACAAACATTTTCTCAGTTTTCTGCACACGGATTCTCAAGATGACAGGAATGTGACGGAAGCCCAACCGTTTCCCTGTCTATCGTCGTGATTCAACCAAACTACATAGCTTACATGGGAAGTGGCATCTGAAGGCCAGAACACATAATCCTATGCCTATACCTATACTATTTAGAGGCATTTCTGTACCAACCAATCTCCGATCATATCCAGTACACAAAGTATGGAAATCAGTACAGGGTTACTGCACTGTGCAGCTTCGTCTGCTGGCTGTGAAATGTGGATGTAATGCTCTACTGAATGAGCGGTTTCCTGTACTGGGCAGGGTTGTGTAATTTGCAATGGAGCCACACCCTGATCTTATTGATTGACTTCAAATCCACATCTTCTTTTAACGAAACTTATTTGAATCCTGATAAACCCACTAGCAAAGTCTTGACATAAACGCCCTGCAACAGATCCCCAGCGGGCCACGCATGACTCCATAGCCATGGCTGCAAAGACTTCCTCGCAAGCCTCAATCGTAAGTTGCTACGACTTGGAACAAGCTGGCATGAATCATGTCAGTCAGTACAGGAAAGCCACTCGCCAGTACAGACTCCTTCTTCAAAGATCCCATGATACTAAATTGATATTTCTGTACTGAATACAAGGCTTTGTGTACCAAACAGGTCTATGCTACCATTCAGTGCAAAAGCCCACCAGCCAGTACAGAGTGCTTGATCTGTCTACAAGTGTAATCCAAGCCCTGAAGCACTGGCAGCAAGCGGATGCAGCACCAAGCGGATGAGGAGGAGCCCTCAAAGGATAGGGTTTCATTTATCCACTTGAAACACCTGTAATATTGCGGATGCAGCACCAAGCGGATGAGGAGGAGCCCTCAAAGGATAGGGTTTCATATATCCACAGGAAACACCTGTAATATTTAAGCCCTAAACCATGAACCATGGGTTTGGGGAAACCATGAACCATGGGTTTGGGGGCCTCTTGGCCCGTCTTTTTCAAATCTAAGACTTTGTCCGTCTCTAACAAATCCAAGGCCTTCACCCCTGACAGAAATGCAAATGCCCCCAACTACCCCTGCCGACCATTACCTCACATCTAGAAACCAACGGAATAGAACTGAGGTCCTATCTTAAAATTATTCATGCTCATGTCTTCAAGGCAATCGCCTGCTCAAAACACTCTAACTTCCTCAAGGCAAATGTCCGGAATACCGCACCACACGACGAAGTGCAGATACGTTTGTAGGAAAATGACAAGGCTGAGCCAGATGCACACCCAAAAGGCGGACCGGTCATCCTCAACAGAAACCCAACTAATTAACTACTTGCGAACCCATAAACCATAAACCCAAACCCTTCGAGGCGAAGGCTTGCCCAGGAGCCGGCAACGACCTGGGCGCACAAGACTTTCATTAATGCGGCATTCAGAAGTATTGTGGTAGGTTTAGGGTTGAGGGTTTAGGGTTCGGGGTTTGGCGTTTAGGGTTTAGGAGAGGCTCGTGGGGTCAGGAGTTAAGACTTTACCGGTCTTTGGGGTGTCTTAAGCGTCAGTGGGAACCTCGTTTGCCGGATGGGGTTACTACGTAAGGAAGCAAAGAGAGGAAAAGATAATTCACGAAGGCCAACATGCTACTTGGGAAAGTGGCTCAGGGCGCGAAGGCGGTAATGCTAGGCTAGTAGTAGTAGTAGTAGTAGTAGTAGTAGGAGCAGCAGCAGCAGTAGTTGTAGGGCTACTGTAGTTGCCTGAGAATCAACTCAGTTCGCAAGTTGTCAATTGTGCAAAACTTTTAGAGTTGGTTATTGCAGTGACACTGGTTGCTGCCTCGGCAGCCCACCGGAACAAACGAACATATCTTCATAGGGGGTGGTTCGACAACGTGATTGTGGCAACAGCTCCGGTCTTTTTGCGCATGCCGGAAGAGCCGAGTGAAAGAGCTGGCCTACAGTGTGCCATGTGCCACCTGTCCACGTAGCTTTGTCTGAGCCTATAGGCTAAGTTTAAGCCGCGAAGCCGCTGCATGTATTATGCTATTTTGTACAACCCCGCCTCTTTAAGCCGCGAAGCCACTAGCTGTATTATGCTATTTTGCAAAACCCCGCCCCCAAGTGGCACACAGCTCACGACTTCTTTGAATCTGCCCGCTTGAGCTCCTTGACCTCCTTCTTCACCTCAAACAGCTGTGACTTCACGTTCATCAGCTCCTGCTCTTTGGTCTTGAGCTCTGCTGCCAGCGATTTATTGGCTGTCTCGAGCCTGGGCTACAAAGGCCGCATATTAAAACCCCTATCCGATACTACTACCATTATAAAAACAACAATAAAGCCAGAGGACGAAGTCTTCTGGTGGCGAAGTTTCTCCCGCAGGTCATACTCAGCCTGGCGGTCATCCTTCAGCTTCGCGCACTCCTTGGAGCTGTCCTTCAGGGTGATTTAGGCTCTCACAACTCGGACATGCCAGGCGAGGTTCTTTTTACGCTCTCACCCTTCAGGGTGATTTAGGGTACCGTGTTTAGGGCTCGGGGTTTGAAGTTTCGCGTCCGTCCTTGTGAAGTCGTTCAAGAAGATCCACTTTGCCTTGACTCGTGAATCTGAAAGACATCAAAAAAATTAAACGATCGAGGCTTTCGGTTTAGGGCTTAGGGTTTAAAAGAAAAGGCAAGGCACGCTTCAGGCCGTCCATTTCCGACTTGTGCTCAGCCGCCACCTCAGACAAGCGATTCGACAGCCGCTCCACCGCCACTCCATGCGCGTGCACCGTCTGCGAGCGCTCATCTTCCATCTCCTGACATTCAAGCAGAATGCATATTTAATTTTTAGGGTTGTGGGTCCGGGTTTAGGATTTTGCTAAGGTTTTAATCCGTTCGTCGAAATTTTGTTTAGGGTCTAGGGTTTAGGTTTTAGGATTTAGAATTTAAGTAAAGCAGAATGCACATATTTTAAAGTTTAGGGTTTCGGGTCTGGGGTCACGTCCCAGTCCTTCAGCTGTCTGCGCAGACGGGCCGCCTCCTCCTTGGCCGAGCTCTCCTCCTCCCTCGAGGTGGCGATGGCCGTTCTCAAATGCCCCACCTCCACCTGCAGCTGCTGTAGCTGGCCTGCACGCGTGCCCGCTGTTGTGGACCTGTTGTTGCACTGACTGAGCTGGAAACCTCAAGCACGAACCTCTTAAACCCTTAATGCCCAGCTTAAGCTTTTGCTTTTAAGCCACCTTCCGTCCCCAGGCCGGGCAGCCGCCGCTTTGGCACCTGCAGCAGCTCGCGGCGGCCGAACGTTGCCGTACGGCCCGTTGCCACCAGCATGCGGGGGCGGATGCCATGGTCCATATGGCGGGAATGGACCCCACCACATGACGGCACTAGAATGCCCTAGAAGAGCCTCATTATTGACCCTGAGAGCCGTTTGTGACCCTAAGAGCCCTTTCTGACCCTATTCCCTGGTAAAAGAGCCCTTTGTGAACGTAAGAGAGCCTTTTTTGACCCTAAGCCCTGGTAAAAGAGCCCTCTAAGAGC